TTATCTTGATTACACACGCTAACATGCTTGAATTACAATGAACAGAGATCATCGAGCAACTGCAGGACCTGTATGAACGACTGCGATCCTACAACCCCCCGCCGGTCGTCCAGCCAAGCATCGAATCCCTCGACCCCAAGCCCAAGTCGTTCTTCGGCTCGCTGTTCAATCGCAACGCAAAGCAGGAACTTACAATCCCCGAATCCCTCCCCAAGGGACTGTACATGTACGGCGACGTAGGATGCGGCAAGACCATGCTCATGGACCTGTTCTACGAGACCCTCCCACCCAACATCAAGACCAAGACCCGCATCCACTTCCACAACTTCATGCAGGATGTGCACAAGCGCATGCACGTCGTCAAGATGAAGTACGGCAACGACTTTGATGCGCTGCCTCTCGTGGCAGCTTCCATCGCAGAGGGCTCGAGCGTGCTGTGTTTCGACGAGTTCCAGTGCACAGATGTCGCAGATGCGATGATTCTCCGAAGGTAGTACACCGACTAGCCTCACCCAAACCACAACCATTACTCACAGACAAAACCCACAGACTCCTCGAATCCCTCATGTCCCACGGCGTTCTCCTCGTCACCACCTCCAACCGTCACCCCGACGACCTCTACAAGAACGGCATCCAACGCGAATCCTTCATCCCCTGCATCAACCTCCTCAAGACCGCCCTCGACGTCATCAACCTCAACTCCCCCACCGACTATCGCAAGATCCCCCGTCCCCCAGCAGCCGTCTACCACCACCCGCTCGGCCCAGACGCCGACCACCACGCCCAGAAATGGTTCGATTTCCTCGGCGACCCCATCAACGACCCCCCACACCCCGCCACCCAAGAAGTCTGGGGTCGCAAGATCCATGTACCCCTGGCCAGCGGCAAAGCCGCCAAATTCAGTTTCCAGCAGCTCATCGGCAGCGCTACCGGCGCAGCAGATTACCTAGAACTCGTCCGGAACTACGAAGCCTTCATCATCACTGATGTGCCGGGCATGAACCTCACCCAGAGAGATCTGGCTAGACGGTTCATTACTTTCATCGATGCCGTCTATGAGAGTAGGGTGCGTTAGCCCCCAAACCTTTCCTTCCCCCTAAACAACCGCCCAATACCAGTAAAACTAACGAAATGAATAAACAGGCAAAATTAGTCCTCACCACCGAAGTCCCCCTCACCAACCTCTTCCTCTCAGCCGACGACGTCAAATCCACCCTCACGGACGGCAGCAATGACGACGGCGCGGACCTCTCCGACGCGATGCGCATGATGATGGACGATCTAGGCTTGTCGATGCAAGCGCTCAAAACGACCTCGATCTTCAGCGGTGATGAGGAACGGTTCGCGTTCGCGAGAGCACTGTCCCGTCTGTCCGAAATGGGAAGTAAGATGTGGGTGGAGCGCGGGTTGGGAGTGGGAATGGATGCGGATCATGGGAAGAGTGAACATGATGCGTATTTGAAGGCGAGGAGTCGCTGGTCGGAGGATAATATGTGATTTTCCCACCACCATCATCCTTTTCTTACTCATCTTTTACCTGAATTTTAGAGGGGGGAGATGTTGTTGTTTCTACTATCTAGATTAGATGGTTGCTGGTTTCTTCGTTGCATATACTATATACTTCTATACATACGTGTATACATTTACAGTTGCATTTACAGATCATAGAGAGCTTAGTTGAATATTATGGTGATGGAACTACGATTTTTGCATTCAATATTCATTAACACAGATTGAATAATGTTGTTGACTTTACATACTCTGATAAAGCTAGGTAGAACATGACGTCATTAACCCACCCAACGATCAACCAGGAACTTCAAACAAACAAGTCTGTCTATCTATCAGGGACAATCTAAGTTTTCTCCACTCTCAGCTGAGTGCTCTTGTCATATTATAATTGAATTCATTGCCATTGGCCAAGAGCATAGGCGATGGCTCCTCTTCGATGGAGACTGTCAATGCAGGGAGTGACTGAGTGGACTCTAGTGCTCATCACTGACATCATGAGTTCTTCTCTCTTCACAACCATAACTGTGGACCATTGACAGACAGCGTTGCATCATGGTTCCGGTCCAGACTACGCAGTCCCTGATCGACTGGGGGTATTGATTACAAGTGCTTAGAAATAGATTGGTCGGGTTGGGGCGGATGGGTATATAGGTATATAGTATCCCAGGCTACTATCTTCTGAGAAATAGATTTCTCATCACTGTATACTTACTACCAGTGTGAGCGACAATACTTGACCATGGCCAGCGAACGCTTCAACATGACCACCAAACAGGATGACCTCGCTCGGGACACAATCCAACTATCCGGAGTTCAGCCCATGACCACCGATTACGGGATCAAGATCTCGGATCCTGATCATTGGCTTCGCGTCGTTGATGCGCAGCATAATGGTCCTTCGTTATTGGAGGATCCGATTGCGAGGGAGAAGGTATAGTGCCTTATTAAATAGTGACAGTCCTCTGCTAGAGTATCGACTGACCAGTGCAGATCATGCGCTTCGACCACGAACGGATCCCCGAACGAGTCGTGCATGCCCGCGGTGCTGGAGCCTTCGGAACCTTCAAGCTCCATAAAGCCATTCCTGATCTCTCCTCAGCCGGGGTCTTGAATGACACGGAGCGCGAAACGCCCGTCTTTGTGCGGTTTTCCACCGTCCAGGGCAGTCGGGGGAGTGCGGATACTGTTCGGGATGTTCGGGGCTTCGCCGTGAAGATGTATACTGCTGAAGGGAATTGGGATATTGTGGGGAATAATATCCCGGTCTTTTTTATTCAGGATGCTATCAAGTTTCCTGATGTTATTCATTCGGTTAAGCCGGAGCCGCATAATGAGATTCCTCAGGGACAGAGTGCTCATAACAACTTTTGGGATTTTCAGTATATGCATTCAGAGACGACGCATATGCAGCAGTGGGTGAGTCTTTTCTGGTTTGTTTGTTGAATGGACAGCTGGCTGATTGGTTTGCTAGGTCATGTCGGATCGTGCTATCCCTCGTTCTTACCGTATGATGCAAGGCTTCGGTGTCAATACCTACTGTCTGGTTAATGACAAGGGGCAGAGGCACTTTGTCAAGTTCCATTTCACCCCGGAGCTCGGTGTTCATTCTCTCGTCTGGGACGAAGCGCTGAAAATTGCAGGTCAGGATCCGGACTTCCATCGGAAGGATCTGATGGACGCCATTGAGGCAGGCCAGTACCCCAGGTGGAAGTTCGGCATCCAGGTGATTCCAGAAGAGAAGAAGGATGACTTTGAGTTCGATATCCAGGATGCAACCAAGATCTGGCCGGAGGAACTTGTACCAATTCATTACATTGGACAACTGGAACTGAATCGCAATGTTGACGAGTATTTCCCCCAAACCGAGCAAGTGGCTTTCTGCACAAGTCACATTGTACCCGGTATTGACTTCTCGGACGATCCCCTTCTTGTGGGCCGCAACTTCTCCTACTTCGATACGCAGATCTCTCGTCTGGGACCTAACTGGCAAGAATTGCCAATTAATCGTCCCGTATGTCCGTACATGAGCCTGGTCAACCGGGATGGTCAGATGAGACACCGCATCACAAAGGGCAAGGTGAACTATTGGCCTAACAGGTTCGATGCGAATCCCCCATCCTCTCCAGCTCATGGGGGATTTGCGACCTACCCTGAGAAGCAGCGTGGCGTGAAAGCACGTGCACTGTCAGAAAAATTCAGCGAGCATTTCAACCAGGCCCAACTGTTCTACAACTCCCTCAGCCCCATAGAAAAGCTTCATGTCTCCAAAGCATTCTCCTTCGAGTTAGACCATTGTGACGAGGAGATCGTGTATAAGCGTCTTTCAGAACGACTGGCTGTCGTTGACCTCCAGCTGGCTAAGACTGTTGCGAAGAATGTCGGAGGCAACACGCCGACCAAGGCACCAAAGGAGAACGATGGAAAAACATCAAAGGGCTTGAGCCAATTCGACTACCTTCCTGACAGCGCACATATTGCTACTCGCCGAGTTGCCATCCTGATCGCAGATGGCTTCGACCTCAACTCATATGGGGACATGAAGAGCGCTTTGCAGAAGCAAAATGCATTTGTATTCACCATTGGATCCCAGCGCCAGGGTGTCACCTCCGAATCAGGGGAGAAGGTGATTCCCGACCACCACTTCCCAGGAATGCGTTCCACACTCTTTGACGCGACTTTCGTACCTGGTGGAAAGCACGTTGATGTGCTGGCGAAGAACGGCATCGCTAAGCACTGGATTGCTGAGTCTTTTGCACACTTGAAGCCTATTGCTGGCATTAACGAAGCGGTGGACTTCATCCGGAAGCAAATCAACCTAGATGCGGTCAAATATGCCTCAGATGGTCAGGTTAAGGAGAGCTATGGAGTGGTGACTGCCCATGGCGCACCTGCACAGCTATTGCAAGTATCGTCCAATATTGGTAGCGAGAGCAAGGGATTCATCGACCAGTTTATCTGGCAAATCTCGAGGCACAGGAACTGGCAGAGAGAGTTAGATGGCTTGGTGGATGAGATCGCTGCATAGTAGAATGTCGGTCAACAAGTATTTATGAGATAATGAATAGCGGTCCCTGATGTTTGTCACAACATGGTTTGTAGTAAACTCTCAGTAAGTGAGAAGCTGAGAGAATCAACTCTAGCAGCAGTTACAATTGGAATAAAATGCCGAGATTGCTACGTCAGCTGCATATGATGTGTGACATGGGTAATGGTGTGAGCATGTCGGAGCTGGATGGCACAACAGTCTAGACCTTCACCCTCAGCATAGAGACTTGAGAGTAACATGTTTGCCTAGGTATAGACACCCTAGAAAGGGTCCCTCACAACATGTTCGGCCAGCCTGATTTGTAAAGTTCATCGCATTCCAGCCCGGCCCGATTATAATGTAAGGGGTAATAAGCCGGTAGCCTCACACCTGGCCGTGAGTACTTCTACAGCAAAAGGTCGTCTGAGCTTTGTCTCATTCTCATCTAGGGGATTTCGGTATCATGGTGCTCAAAATATCACGCGCCACGCGATTGACGGTGGTAGTTGTCATCTCCTCGGCATTCTTTGTGGCTGAGATCTCAGGTTGGCTCCCCTCTATCCCACTGCAGATTGCTCCATTGCAAGCCTGGCTGATGCGACCGTACGGTAGTTGGTTTTTACACACATTCCCTTGCTTTGGTGGCCGATGCTTTTCATTATGTATGTGTGGCTCATTGTTGCAAAGCGGTCACTTATGAATCTAGTTGAACGACCTGGTCGGGTTTGTTGTCGCGCTCGTTGCTCTCAAGGTAGTCCACGGCACGGTCAAGAAAGGTGCAGCAGGTACTGAGTTCACTCCAGGTATCAGAAGCAGATGAATCGCCGAAAGCCCTATCTTTTGGCTGGCAACGAGCCCAGTTGCTGGGCGCCTTCTTCAATGGCGTCCTACTCTTCGCGCTTGGGATTAGCATTTTCCTACAGTCCATTGAGCGATTCATCACGCTCCAGCGTTGGTGCTCCGTCCTCCTATCAAATTCATCCGGTTAATGTGCAACAGGTGTTGAGAATCCTAAGCTCATGTTCATCATGGGAGCCATCGGACTGACCCTGAATCTTATCAGCGCCACGTTTCTCCATGGTAATTCCGGCTTCAACAGCTAATGAGGCGGCCTCGGTAACTGTTTTACAGAGCATCACCATCATGATCATGGACATGAACCTAGTTCAGTGGCTTTGGAAGAGCTTCCGGTGTCGACAACAGATGACATTACAGAACTGGAACGACCAGGAAGTCCGAACGTTAGTACTTGAGCAGGAATAAGAGCATTCAGCTGGTTGACTTCTACTCTGTAGCACGATAACCATAAACATCTTTCGCATGGGCCTCGGACAGCCTCTCACGGACATGACCTAGGAATGCTGGGGGTCTTGACCCATGTTATAGGCGATGCGGCCAACAACCTTGGGGTGATGGCAGCGGCCTTGGTCATATGGTTCACTCACTATGGAGGGCGATTCTATGCGGATCCGGGCACAAGTATGGGAATAGCCATAATGATCATGCTGTCTTCAATTCCACTAGGTATGTCCTTTCATATTGTTTGATCCATGGATGCTGAACCCAATAACAGTGCGGCGATGTGGAATCATTCTGCTAGAAAGTGCACCTAATGGAGTCGACCTTGAGGATGTGAAGCATGATATAGAGAAGGTAGGCCACAACGAGGCTACACTCATCGAGTAAATTCTCACAGTTGGGGGTTTGGCAGATTCCTGGTGTCCTATCGGTCCACGAGCTACACATCTGGCGCCTAAACCAGCACAAGGCGCTCGCATCGGTTCATGTGATGGTATCCGATTGCTCAGTGCCGAGTTTCCTAAAATTGAGTAAGACCATCAACGAATGTTTCCACGCATACGGGATCCATTCTACCACGATTCAGCCAGAGATGGCCCATCCGGAGACGATCGCAGTAGGACAGCCGACAGTGGAAACAGAACGGGTTTCACAGATTGAAATGTCGGAGAAGTGTCAGGTGATATGTGGAACATTATGTGAAGAATTGACGTGCTGTGGGTAGAAGACATATGGAATTTGGATAAAGGGATGATAAGAAAGTACAGGTATAATCGAGCAGAGGAGAAGGGAAAGATGAAAATAAAGATGAAGATGGCGAATGTCACGGGGAGGCCGGGTCATCTGACCTGGCTGTTACTAGTTAATTTGTTAATATCCCATCGCTGAATGCTTCTCTTCCTTTCTCCGCTTCAACCATATCCCCTCGAATGATTGTTGATATTCTTCGTGGTTGATCCGAGCCCCATTGATGAGATGTGAAGTCCATCTCTCGCCCCCAACTAGTATGCGGAACATATTCCGCCTGGTCGTTTAAACCTTCGGCTGTGCTTCTCTGTGCCCACCTGTGATCCTAGCAGATCTTCCCCGGTACTGACTACCAATGATTAATAGTGTAATAACTCCAGATAGGCAAGGTCGGCACAAGAACTCCATTCAGCGTTCATTTGCTAATTGCCGATAGACGCCATGGCCCTTGATAGGCAAGTGCTCGCGACCAGATAGATAAGAGGATCTCCACCCGAGGCATATCTCCTCCCTGGAGCTAGGAGCTGCAGCGCAGCTGGGTGCATACAGCCTATTGATCGTGATTGGACTGCATTCCGATTCCGAGATGTAGACCTGTTCCAACTCCTCATTTGCCTTGTCATGGAAACCATTAGTGCTTTTGTCTGCCGGTATTAAACTGTGCACACTCCCCACCTTTCCCATGCTGGTCACATCTCCTCTGTCACCCAATTCTGAACCTAGTGCCCGCAAGCATCTTACACTATGTCACTCTCATGGGAGCTCCAGGCACAAAAGGCCAAGGACATTCTCCAACAGTCAATCCCCAAACAATGGCTCATCCCCGCACATAAGCTACCCTCGGCCGACCTGAAAAATGTGGAGGACTTTCCCCGCAAAAGCGGCCTTCTCTCGGCGAGAGAGCTTGGTATAACCGACATGTCTGCCGCTACCCTCGTGCAGAACATGGGGGCAGGAAAGCTCACGGCAGAGGAGGTGGTCGTGGCTTTCCTCAAGCGAGCCGTATTGGGCCATCAGCTGGTAATGCTTAACTATATCTTGTCCAGGTTTCTGTGTAACTAATACTTCTTGTCAGCTCAACTTTGCTACAGAGTTCCTAACCGACCGAGCAATAGGGCGAGCCAAGGAACTAGATGAGTATTACAGGCGAACCGGAAAGCTAGTTGGGCCTTTGGTGGGACATCCTTATCAGCGGTACCGTACAATCCAGAAACTGATAACTCGCAGCACGGTGTCCCGATAAGCGTCAAAGAGCATGTTGGAGTCAAGGGCCGTACGTGTAATGCCGGCTATGTAGCCTGGTATGACTTTTCTCTTCTTCAGATACACTATCAAGCCCAGAAACTAATATCACTAGGGTGGACGACATTGCAACAGAAGACGCCCTCATACTACAATGTCTCGAAAAGGCAGGCGCCGTCTTCCACGTACGAACCAACCAGCCACAATCTCTCATGGTACAGCTACATTCCTACCTTGCAGACAAGGACTTTGCCTAGCTAATCAACACATAAAGCACCTCTGCTGCAGCAATAACCTCACCGGAACGACGCTAAACCCTTACAACCGCACGCTCAGTGCCGGTGGTTCCTCAGGTGGTGAAGGCGCTTCGACCGGCTTCAAATGCGCTCCCCTAGGTATCGGCACAGACATTGGAGGCTCAATCCGATGCCCCGCTGCATTCTGTGGCTCCTATGGATTCCGTCCAACAGCCCTTCGCAACCCATTATCAGGTGCAAAGGCACCCAAGGAAGGCCACGAATCCATCCGCGGCGTAATCGGACCTCTCGCCAGCCAGAGCGTGGAAGACATGGACATCTTCCAGCAGGCCATCCTCGACCAAGAGCCATGGGATATCGAGACGTCCTTAGTCCCCGTCCCATGGAAAAGAGCCAAACCCACCAAAACAATGACCGTAGCCATCATGTGGGACGATGGGTAAGCCAGCCAACAGCCACACCAACGCATACAGTACCCTAACAAACACCAGCGTCGTCCGCCCTCACCCCCCAATAACCCGGGCCCTCAAGCACGCCAAATCCAAGCTCCAAGCCGCCGGCATCAAAGTCATCGACTGGGAACCATACAAGCACAAGCACGGCTGGGACATCATCGTACGTCACACCCCAACCCCATCTAACATACCTCCTCCAAACTAACCACAACCCCCCACCCCCAGTCGGCAATGTACTTCCCCGACGGCGCCCTCAGCCAGCGCAAACTCATCGCCCAAACAGGCGAACCAATCCTCCCCTTAACAGCCTGGGCCTTCGACTACAGCAGTCCCACCCCCCTAACTATGGCCGAATCCTGGACCCTCAATGTCCAGCGCGACGTATACAGAGACGAATACCACGCGCTGATGAAATCCCGAGGCGTGGACTTCATCCTCTGTCCCGTATACGCGGGCGTCGCTTCTGTTCTCGGTGAATCCCACTACTGGAACTACACCGCGGTGTGGAACATTCTCGACCAGCCGGCCGTGGTATTCCCATCTGGGTTGAGCGTGGACGCGCAGCTGGATCAATTGACCGCCGAGCACAAGACATATAAACCCCGAGATGAGGTTGATCAGCGCGAATGGAGTAAGTATACCGGTCCGGAACGGTACGAAGGTGCGCCTATTGCGTTGCAGTTGGTTGGAAAGCATTTCAAGGATGAGGAGACTCTGGCTGCTGGTGCGTTGGTCGATGGGATCTTGAAAGGAGGAGCAGAGCAGAGTACTACTACTAGATCAATGCTCTGAGTTAAGCTACGCTGAGTGAGAGACACATACATATAAGTTGAAGTGAAATCTGATATCATTCATAAATTGACCGATCATTTACAATCCATTATATCCATCAATCATAACGAAACATAAATACATACATGAAAATCCCAATCATCCATCATCAATAAGGTCGTAAGGAAATGAGAAAAAAAAAAAAAAAAAGAAAGAAAGAAAACCAAACAATTCTATCTCACCACCAGCAAGGAAGCCAGAGCTGGAATCCATGAGATAGAATATAGAGGGGTATACCGAGAGATAAAATAGATCATCACTTCCTCCAAAACATAGCCTTACCCGCCACTCTCTTCGCAGACCACTTTGCCTCAGCGAATTTGTCCTTGAAACTGACTCCGCCACCATACTTCAGCGCAGTACTACTCCTCCCACCGCTCGAGCCCGAAACATGGCTCATATTCGCCAGATTACCCGCATCGAACTTGGTCTTCCCTTCTACTATCTTCTGCACGACAAGCAAGATCGCATACGTAGTAGATCCAATGACACGAATAAGGGCCAACACTACCACGGACCACAGGATGATGGCGAGGTAGACGTTCGTACCGCCTGCGTCGGGACCGTAGACTTCGGAGATGGCCATGGCCAGGACGACGTTGGCTACCATCCAGATGGAGACCATGTATGTGCGGACGGCGCGGTAGTAGTCTTCTTGCATTTGGCTCTCGGTGACGGGGGTCTCGGGGACTTCGACGCGGTCGCGGAGGTTGCGGAGCGCGGCGTCGTAGCCGCTGTCAATGTCGAGTTGTTCGGAGGGCATTTCGATTTGGACTGTGGTACCGTTGATGACGCGCGCCGCTCCCAGATCCATGTTCAGGACGTTGTCACCTTTTGTTCCCCAGGAGACATCGTGCGTGTTGCAGAAGGCGTAGACTTGGAGGGTGCAGATGTAGCTGGGTAACATGATGAAGTAGGCTGCTGAGGAGGTGAACATGTGCCAGGGGTCGAGGTAGAGAAAGGAGGCGTAGAAGTATAAGCCCACTGTTGACAAGAGGGACATGACGATGTTGACAAAGAGGCCATCGCTCACTTCGAGATCGGTATCAACGCCCGTTCGTGCTAGAATTTCGATCACCACTAGGTACATGGTGCAGAAGATCGTGTAGAACATGATGATTGAGTAGACGATGATGCCGGACAAGTATAGCTTTTTGGCACTGCAAGGGTTGAGGTTAGCTAGCTATTCATGAACTGTCCTGGTATGGATTACTCACCCTTGCGGTCGATTACCCATAGAAATGATGAACTGCAGACACATGACCAGAATACAGGCGTATCTCAAAATCACGAATATGTATTTGCCGATATGGTGACCAAACGGATCGATTTTGTCGTCGGTAAGTGAGCCAGCGATGAAGTAGAATACCAGGTAGAAGTTTGCCTAGAGGTGGGTTGAATGTTAGCGAGGTTTTCTCGGATAGCTGGGTATCATAAGACATACCAAGCCAAAGTACGTGAAGATCAACTGCATGAATTGATAGGCACCCTCGATCTGGAGGAGAATCTTCCGAGGTAGCGAGTGGTCCGTTTTCCAAAGTTGCTTGCCATTGACGATAGAGTACACGGCCGCGAAGAATGCACCGTTCAGCCAACGTCTTCTCTGTGAGATGAACTCGGGAATAGAGTCTAGCAAGGTTGTTAGCGGGATTACATCGATCGCTCGTCTTCAAGTCTTACCTGGCACGTCGGTTTCACCAACAGCACTCTTCACGAACTTCAAGACCCAGCGCTCTTCCCTCTTGGCTACCAACTCCCAGCAGAGAATACGATCTTCTGCCAGGTACATGTTGGCAGTGAACACATCTGCATCTTGTCCGTGTAGTGTTTCTCCCTTAAAGTACTGGTTCAGAGGGCCGTTACCCTCCGCGTCGTTTTGCAGTGCGAAGAACCGATACGCACTGAGCGCTCCGGGAAGCACAGTAATGTATCCGAAGACAGATTCCAGCGGCTTGTCCAAAATGTTGGACATCTTATATTCGAAGTTCTGACTGGCAACCAGTGGGTTCAGAAGACCCAGCATACCCTTGCCTTTACCAGCCTTAATTTCACCAGCCGCTCCAGCGACGTTTGAGTTCTGGTCGAACGCTTTCCAGAGGTGGTAGAGTGCGGTAGGCGCAGGCTTGGTACCCACATCCAGCAGGATGCAAATGTTCGGCTGTAGTGCTCGGCCAAAAGCATTGAAGAACCAACGGTGTGAGTTCAACTTCTTCTTGTTGTGCTCCTTCAAACAGAAGAGCACCTGGCACGGCATAATGCCCTTCTCAGCACCCTTAAACTTCAAATCGGGATCGAGCGACACTTGCGTCGTGTATTCGTAGACGTGTGCGTTGACCTGCTTCTGGTTGACGACGTTCTTGGCGATACCTTCCTGGTAGACACCCAAAGCCGCCAAAGCATTGAGGGTCCGTGGATGCACCTTCTTACGACCGTCGGCAATGATGCAAACCACAATCTTCTTCCAACCATCCTTACCCCAAGTACGGGACTTGGATCGCGAGCAGAGATGGGTAATATTCTGCATCACACCATGCATAGTCCGAGTGAAGCCAATCTCATCCTCGTTATACATCGTGATACAAATCAACAACTCAGTTTCACGCATAGTGCTGCCAATCTGTTGTCGCAACTTGTAGCCTCGCTGCGTGAAGTCATCGGGGTCACAGGTAACCGCAGTGTACCGCATATGGGTGAATTCTCGGTCATCCCGACGAGGCAAGAAAGAGTGCAAGATAGTTGGGATCTTGCACTCCAAGATCAGTTCACCGTTGATCAATTGGACTTCCTTCGTGGACATCTGGGCCTCGCGAACACCTCGGCGGCTCTGCTTTTCGGGGGCCGGACCATAATGTATGTTCGGGTCAACCATCTCATCTGTTTCTTCCATTTCTTCGTCCAAGTCAACTTTCGACATGGCATCCTTCTCATCTGTAATAATCGTAGACTCGCTCATAAAAGATTGCATGCTGGCTCTGTTGTCGGCTCTAGGGTCAATCGTCCGCCCACCACCACCGAACACATCATCGTCGCCCGCGTCATTGATCGGGATGTTCGCATCGTGTCCACCAGGGGCGGAGAAAAGTGGTGCTGGAGGCAACGGACGGCGAGGGCTTCCCCCATATCTTGAACTGGGGGTGCCTGGTCGTGGACTACCATTGAGATCTGCACGTTCATATTGCGAGCTTGCGACCGAGGGGGGAGCTGGAGGTCTAGCCCAGTTCCCGACACGGTTAGGCGACCAAGGCCGTGTGGGAGAGCCCGGACGAGAGGTATAGTGTGGGACATCTACCGTTGATGCTGCTGGCGGGGGGATGGTTGGTACATTTCCCAGACTCGATACAGGCCGGGAAGGAGACTCGGTTGGCTCATAGGGATAGTATCGCTGGCGTTCACTTCTGCGGTTGTTTTGAGCACGCGAGTTAGCAGACCGCTTCATAACCATCATTTCGTATATCATATTGAAAGTAGTTGTGCCGGATGTCCATAGACATCCCAGATATACGCAAAAAAGCGGAGACAGTGTTGGCCAGGAAAATCACGGCATGCAAACTGACTGAGTATTTCTCAGTCACCAGACTTGAGCTTTCCCCAGACAGCGGTTTTAACAGCATTGACCATGTCAACAAGGGGAGAGATGGTATGGAGCTCCACGCCGGAGGGCAGATACCAAACAAGGTCATCGGAATGCCAGAAGCCATAGCTTAGTGTGATTTAGGGGAATGGAAAAAAGAAAGGCTACTACTTACTCTCCGTCATCGACAAAAGGATCCCCATAGTGGTACTCTGAGCTAACTCCCGTGTCGGCACTCAAATCACTTTCTACAATTGTGCTGGTGGGCAGCAATCGCATAGTAGCTCCATGCGCACGGGATGCTGCCGGAGGAGAATCATGTTCGGTGTAGTATGGGTCTCCGTACGTATCATATGCCGGCGGCTCCTCTTCCTGGTTATGGGCCGGCACATACATCCGTGATGAGTTGTTCATGTTTATCTGCTCTTAACTCAATCGCGCATAGTATCCGATGATCAAACGTAGTGGTGGCACAAAACGATTTCTCAGGTATCTGTGTGGTTACGGCCCCAGCGGTTACGATGACCTCAACTCAAGGGACGTAGATAGTAGTGGTCTATGGATTCCTAAAGGTAATGGGTTCCACGGTTAGCACATCTGCATTGCCCAGACAATTCCAGATCCGGGGTGATGGGGAATGCCACTTACTATCCACAGGGGGCAGTTGGTTGTCTGGTAGTACCAGTAAACAAACCAAAGTATGTCAGAGATCTAGAGGAATGTATCGGGGCAACCAAGCGATTGGATAATGGTTTGAAGAAGTCGAGTAGAACCTCGGATGCGAAAGTCGAGCTTCCTTATAAACAAAGGTTGTGATCCAATCCACACCACAAACGCACACACAGAGCGTCAAATACTGAAGGATGGCAGGTTGATAGAGTCAAACAGATCCGATCAGTTCCGCCCCAGGCACTTCTTAAGAAAATCACCTTGGATACGGGCGCCTAAACTGCCGTCGTAATCAGACTGCGCTGACGAACAGCAGCGCCTGGAGAGCGTGGATATCACCAGGGCAACGGAAGCTTGGAGGAGCGAGCGGGGCGACCATCCTTGCAGCTGAGAGACATCGCATGGATCGAGTGATCGTGCTAGGAGAGATGAGGACTCCCATTCTGAATGATCATTGGCTCTGTTTGTCATGGTGGGTGTCTGGTTCCTGGCGATGTTCCGGATATTCAGTTCTGGTCCTTACTTCCACTTTCTGGCCATTTCCTCGTGTGGTTTCCACGGCTGAGATCCCGCCCGCTTCCTCAGGCACCACCACCATCACCCCCTCGCCAACTGCATTTTCTACTATCGAACCGTGGAGCTTGGCTTTGATTTGCGGTCCGTGCGGGTTCAAGGAGCGCTGCACGGTCTTGGGACGCAATATAATTCTTTGATCACAGTCCATGTTTAGTGCAGATTTACAATTAGCAGCGATATATAACCCCATCTGCTGTGGAGAACCCTGTTGTAAACAACAGTCCAGCCCATCCCAACTTTCGCGTACCCGGATATGATGTATTTATCATTAGCTGTGGCTCACTTGTAGCTTGATCATGATGATAAATATAGAATGCTGATGATCAGAGTAGAGACAAATCATTTTCCCAACCACACTAATAATGTGTCCATCGAATTCACAAGATCATCGTCGCCATAATACATCACAATTTTATAGTCCATCGTCCACTTTCTGTAATTAAATAAAACAAACATAAATCCTCCAGTCTTACAGCAGTAAATTAGTTGCAGCACTATCCGAGCACAACAAATTATTGATGGACAACCCCCCACTAAGACCCGAAAAGAGACTTTGAATACAGATCAACTGACTCACTATTCAGTGAAATCTTGTGTTCTCAAAGTCACCTACTTTCTGACAAGCGCGTAAGATGGCGTTTGATCACTTCACACTTAGGCAGTTTGTGCTGGCTGGGTCGAATCGTTGAGCAACGGCTCCCTCTCGCGATCGGTCACCGGCGCCGGCTGTCCAGCCCTACGGAAGAAGATGTTGCGCCCAGAGTACTTCGTCAAGGAGATATAGAGAGACTCGGCGAAGAAGACGGCAAAGATAACAATGGCAAAGATCCACTGCAGGGAGATGATCTTGACGCCGAACTGCTTGACGGCCAATGCTGCAGAGTTGTGTTAGCGCTGCGACGGCACTTCTCTCAGAAAACCTTGTGCTGATACATACCCAGCGTCAAGAGACTCAGACTGTAACCCAGAATGTCATCCTGGGTAGACAGGATGTGTGTGGAACCCAATGCGAATAGCACCCAGATGAACACATTAGCAACGATCCTCGCTGGCAGGCTGTTGCTGTTCACGGCAACGGCTCCGTTCCAGAAGAGCGTGATCAGAGTCCAGGCATAAGGCGCTGCGACGGCGGCAAAATGCGCAAGAGGTGGCAGTGTACGATGCCGCCAGTAGGTCGTCTTTTGGTTCAGGAAGTGCGCGATCAGGATAATCTCTGATCCCCAGAAATGGCTGCGAGTCCACAGAAGAATCCAGGCAAAGATGAACAGATTGTTCAGGATGAAGTGTGACCCTACATTGGCGGCGGCGGTGGCCGTCACCGCGTCATTGGAGAAAAGATGGTAGACAAAGCCGATTTGAGACAGGAGCGTTATGATCCTAAATAGCAGGTCGTAAGAATAGGTTGGTAAACATAGAGCATTGTAGGTAGCTCTATTATTGAAGCAGCCGTATGAAAAATGACGGATATAGTTACCAGTAAACACCAGAAATAACCGTGCTCAAGCTAAACGGAGTAATGTGCTTGTTGGCTTGCTTCCAGATGGTATGGCCGTGCTTGACATCGGGGGCATGGGAGGAGTAGTAGATGCCGACGACCACGACGAGCAGCCACGACAAGGGAACGAGGACGCGATAGGTTCCAAGTGAGAACCGGTCGTGAGACTCTCGCCTAGCGAATGGATTATCTAGAACAGTTCACGGTCAGTCACAACGGTGTATTGCAGGCGAGAGTGTCTTATGAATCAAGGGGGAGGAACTCACAGGTTGACATAGCGACTGCTATGGATTAAGAGGTAGAGATGGTTAGGGTAATGGGCGAAGGAGACCTAGAATCAAGAAGAGCGAACTCTGATCCCGACCGGGGGAGAGGGGATGGACATCCGGTTATATTGCGTAGCGCAGCAAAGGTGAAGGACTTGCAGCGACGAAGCAGAAGTAGGAGAAGTACTTTAGTTGAAGGAGACTGGAGCATGTCATTGGAAGGAAGACGGCAGCTCCCCCGCATTGCCTGATCTCCTGACAGCCTTTCGCGTCTCTCACTGGCCAGTCTCCCAGCCATCACGGGACTGCCGTGCTTCCGGATGTCGTGTTGGGTAGTATTACTCGTCTCTCAGATGTTCTTCTTTGCTTAGCTCATTGCTTGAAGCTGGTCTAACTACGGTATGTGGGGGCCTCTTCCCTGGTTCAGCACAATGAGGTGACGACTAGTATCTATGACATCATCCTAGAAGGTATCGATCTCTATCCAACATCCAAAGACGTGATAAAACGCTAACAGTGGTACACATGCAAACAAAACGCATTATAGAGACACTGCATGCTCCTGCCCTCCTTCCGTCATCGCCATCTCGTCATTAATGGTCCTCTCATGTCATTGATCGCCGTCCCCACGTTGTCGATCAGTGCACGGTCCTGTTGGCGCCTGCAGCCGAGGGTCTCTTCCGCCAGTGATCAGACAAAGTGCAGCAAGAGTACCCTTTTCAAATGCATGTCCGCGCAAATACGGCTGGGTGTGTAGATTGTCTTGTGGCAGCATAACCAGTAATCCTGGCCCTCATGCACGAACCGTCCTGTCAATACACTTGGGAGCTGCAGAGCGAGGGCATACTAGTCTGTAGCCTTTCTCTTTCATCAAACACTAGGTGATGCAATAAACTAGTGGCTCCGAAGGAAAAGCAAAAACCGTAAGCGAGGACTGTTGAGACAGCTCGTCCGCCAACCCAGACCCCGGATTAACCGTTTGTCTTACATGATCTGTTTCACTGCCTCCACGAGCCGGCTGTGGATGGACGAAGGTGCAACGATCATCCCGTAACAACCAGACAGGGTTCTGCCCAAGCTGCAGTCGACTGGATTACCCGCCAGATCGCTAACTGTACAACCGAGTTCTTCGGCAATCAACATGCCGCCTGAATGATCCCAAATCTTCGACCGATAAGAAGGGTTACGCGGAATTTTTATCATAACATTACAGCCCCCAACTGCGATGGCGATGTATCGCAGCTGCGCGGCCCAGAGATCTGTCGAGGCCGGCCAAGGTGCACCCAAATGTGATGCAAGGCGGGCATGCATGTTCCTGTCGGATGATGTTGCTGACACGCAATCCACAAAATCGAGATCTTTAGGATCCGTTATCTGCGTCTTTGGCTCGATCTTGCGTGAGGGGAGGAGAGAGCCCGTTCCCATTTGCCGAATAAATGCGCCTTGTCCGGCGACAGCGAATACCTGATGCCCGTAGCCATCTCGGTCAACGATGTTTTCATGTAGGCGACCCGTCTCTAGGTTCATATTCGGACAGCCCAAAACGCCAACCTTCTGGTAGCCGTTTTCCACCAGTGACAGACAAACAGCGTACTGCTGACCCTGAATAAAGGTTGCTGTGCCGTCGACGGGATCCAGAACCCAGGCACGGCTCTGCTTGCTACAGTTGCCTTGAGCACCAAGGTCAATCAAATCAAGCATTTCCTCCTTGCTGCTCGGGGCGTAGAGCAGCGCATCGCTTTCCTCGTCCGACAGGCGGGTAGAGGAGACCAGCTCCCAAGTCCTGTCAAGGAGAGCAGGATCGGATCGAAGCGCATCTGAGCTCTCTTCGCCGACAAACTCATCATCGGGGAACGCACGGTGAATGGCAGCGATGATCAATGCCTGTGCAGCAAAATCAGCAATTGTCACTGGGGTGGCGTCATTCTTGTCGAAAGACCCCTTGTCCACAGCTTCCAATAGCTTTTTCGTCAGGAGCGTGGCTCTCTGGACTGTGAGACAGGCGATCTGAAGTTCCTTTGCGTAGGGGTTGGTGGATCCCATGGTAGCCGTATGTACCGTACCACTCGATAAGAATTTGAGTTTTCAGATGGGTATCTAGCCAGGATCCTTTACGCTGAGATCTCTGGGATGCAGTTCGCCTCAATTAAGCGTTCTTTCAGTCGTCTCAAAATCAACGATACTTGGGGATTCGGAGAAGATGTTGCAACGTCTTCCGAGATCACACACCGACTAATATCGGATCCAAGGTCTGATGGTGGGGTCTTCCTTGGAGGGGCACCGCTGGTGACGTAGGCGATAGATAGGAGCGACCGGTGAAGTTTTGCCAATTCAGTCAAAGCAAAGATATGTAAAAATTAGATAGTCTAAAGAGCGAAATTTCTCGTGTCAGGATCTGTTCTGAAGGGGCAAAAGTAGTGGTAACAAGGAGGAAACAAAAGCAGGAATGACTCGAACATGAAGCCAGTGGAAGTGATCGCCCCGGCGGAGTGACCGTCTTTCTGTTTCAGGCTAGTGTGACTTAATCGAGTATAGTCGGATCTCCTTCGTTTATCTTATCGGGCCATTCTGCAGACTATCATCACGCCACCCATAAGAGTCACCGGTATTTTGTTTGTTCGGAGCTAATGTATGAGTTTCTTGCCGGTACAAAGTAGGGTTTTAATGATAGAAAGTCCAGTCGTAGGCCCATGTTTGGAGCATCAAAACCAATCTTATTAATCTGTAATATATAGGCAACGTTCCTTGCAGACACTTGGCCTCATGCATCTATTCCAGTACAAGATGGAGTATTGGTTTGCTCTGTAACCTCATTCAATGCCATAATCAGATCCGACATAAGAAACCTGGACATGGATAAGTCTCACTGCTTAGCCAGAATTATCTGCTCGGTCCAGTAACAATGTAAACTCATGAAGGACATTAGAATGGAGCAAAAGCCAGCTCGTAAGCGAAGCCAAGGGTCAACCTCGCATGCTCCAGCATATGATCGAAGCTTAGATACCGGATGCTGTCATCAGTCGTGTGGATCCTCTTGTTACTGTTCTCCATCTCGGACTCCGTCGCCATAGCTGCGGGATAGCCATATTTGCTTGCGGATGTGTGGTCCGAGCAGGCGTAGCCACATCTAGTTTCGATGTAGCCGATACCACAATACTTTGACAGAAATCGTTAGTCACATGTTTCAACAGAAGAGAAGCGGGAGAGAACTTACCTCAGTTGTGACATCTTTGAGGAATTGTGTCAGTCCCTCATCAACGTAGTCGACCATAATCCCGATGGCTTCTTGACGACCGGCGTCCAGAGCTCCCTGAGTATAGCCAGTCATATCCTGTTGAAGCATCGCCTTGATGTCTCGCTTATCCCTCTTGTATTGAGAGAAGATGGCCTGCGAACCAAGCATCCCACCTTCCTCTGCCGAGTACCAGTGGAATTCGATTGTGTTGGAAGCGTTGCCCCGAACAATGGCGTCTGACTGCAGCAGACCACGCAAAGCTTCGAGAATAGTCACGGTTCCACTTCCGTCATCATCAGCACCAGGTGCCGCTAGGATAGAGGGAAGGAACAGATTGATGCTGTCCTGATGGGCACCCAGGACGACAGTTTTGTTGGTCTGGCCTGGGATGCGAGCAATGATACTGAATTGGCCCCATGAGTGAGCAAACTGCTCCACAGTCGCGCCGTACTTTGCTGCACCTGACTGCTCAATGACATCGGAAACTCTACTATATAGCCACTTTGCAGACTCAATACCAGTGGACGACCTATAGTAGCGAGTGTGAAAGGAGGTGAACTTGTTGAGATTTTGCTCCATGTTATCCTTCGAGAGACCCCGCAGAAGGGGGACCACCTTCTCTGCATGCTTCATCGTGGACGGATAGTGAACATAGCTACCGGCATGCAATGTCGGGTAGAACCCGGTGTTTCGCTCTTCAGTAATATCGATGAAGTTCACGCCATCCTATGGAGCATCCAACGAGATATTAGTAAGATGTGCTATCGTGACAATAACGAAACGAGAAATGTTGCTATACCAGTTTCAGGTCCCACTTCTCTTCCTCAGTCACCCATCTCGTCTGATAGGGAGCCAGCTCGATCAAGAACTTCTCCTGATGGTGATGGGTTGGGGGATCTTGAGGGGTTATCAGCGGTTCTTGCTGCGGTACCACGGCAGCCAACCCCGTCGAAGCCGTTGCACCGAGTGCGAGAGCTATTGAGAGCTTCATGTTGTCTACGATAAGCTACCAGCTCAATAGATTGATGGAGAGAGAAGATAAGGATATAAGATGATGATCAATAATGATGATAGGAAATCAAATAGTACAGTTGCTGCTGATGAACCTCTGCACTGTCAAGTTAATGAGTTGTCCAAGGCTGACCCGCCCGAATACCTGTCGGCAATTGATAAGGCTCCAAGGGTCACAGAAGGCCGAGGACTGAGCTGGGCAGAAGAGGAGGACTGCTTTGCAATATTAACTTAACCGGAGGACTGCTCCGATAAGATTCGGGATGATGCTAGACAGACACGGAGAGGTCGAATTGGATGCAGCCGAACATGCAACCTAAGAGCTGAGAACCCCCCTTTGAGACCGTTGCGTCAGAGGTGCGCGCGCGGCTTAAATAAGGAACACGCGCTGGTCGCACAACTCATCACTCCTCGACCGCCAAGGATGCCTGTGAGACTCCGATCCGACTCTCTGCTATCCCGCACTATTGATAGATGGTCTGACTTGACTTGTAGCCGTTGACTCTTAAATGGTTCCTGGACCAATATCAAGGCAAACTAGCCGCCCCTGGCAGCGGGTCCGTTTACCATCCAACCTGGAAGCACCTGTACTATACTCTATTGCACTAACTTATACACAATATGGTGAAAAGGGGCTTAGCATGTCCACTGAGACAATATCAAGGCAGACACTGCTTTTGTCCCATAAGCCGACCCTTGTAGCATGCCATGCTAATGTAGGGTCCCGTTGTGCGACCGTCACGAGTCTGTGTGCCTGAGCCCGGATCATTGCTGGCTGCCGCGAATCGTGGGGTTGATACCTGAGGCACCAAGCTCCTTCTGATGAGAGGCTCTCTATCTTACAAGCATTGATAACCACCACTGGTGACTTTAATGTCTTAGGAATTTACAACTACCGTTGGTAGGTTCCCAGTTATCTGAGGCTACTAGTAGTTCCTGCTCAATATTCGATCTGATCGAAAGTAAACAAGGTCGCCAAACGAGCAGACATATCGTTCACCGAAAGGGCTTTGAGTCTAATGAGGGGCGTGTGTCCGAGAGCCATTATACGGGTGTATTATTAGGGTCTTTCGCACGTTGCTGCTTTGGAGAGCGATTTACTGAGGTGTTCCACATCGCCTTGTCATAAAGCACATACACAGGCCTGGGTGAGGGATAGTATGTGAATGATAAGGATGACAATCCGAGGGTCCCATTTCCAAGGTTCAAGGGTTGTTACATCACCGCCACGGGTGATGCGGATAGTCGCCTGTCGCGTGAAGCACACGGCTCGCGAATCAGGGCGCCACTAGCAGTCACGATGACTCACAGAAGGTTCCTGTCTCAGATCCCATTCAGGCAGGTAGGGCTAGGGTAAGCGTCAAGGGCATCCAATGACCAGCCATTCGAGATTCTCGTGCCCCAGTGGGAGTCAACTGGTGGATCCGAGGCCGGAATTCTCAGCGCTTACCGTATTGTACCGACTGGGCTCGACCGCCGAACGCGACCGGACTGCAGGCGGCGGTTATCTCCTCTTATCTGAGAGCAGGGCTTCCCTTCGTCCAACCCCCCTCCTCCCCCGATTCTTGTCGCTCTTCTCCAGAAGTCAGTCACTGCCTTAGTGGTCCCTCCCTGGAGTACTACTTGATACCATCGCCTCAGGCTGCGACACCCTTTCTGTGCTTAACCGCCCCCGTCATCCCGGTTCTCCTGTCCCATAGGCCTATCCGTTATCGACACCCGTCCGAACCGCGTTGCGCTCTCACCATGGCCATTCATCCGAATTTCCCATCTGAAACGAATCCGAGAGGATCTCTCTCGCCGCAGCAGGCTCGCGCCATCTCCGCTTGGACTGAACAGGCAGCTGCATCCTTGGAGAGTCTGACTCTCTCGGAGTCAGTACCGATCGCCGATTCGAATGTGGTCTTTTCCCAGTCCACTCCTACGCGCGCAGGCGTGCGCGGCACCACAGTCTCGTTATCAATCCCCTTAGACGACCCAGTACCGACAGTGGGAAGCCCTTCCGCGCCTAAGGTCAAGGTCCTAGGCCAGTCAACCAAGGAGACCCAGGTGGCGTCGGTGAACTTCCGGCGCCGCGAGCCGCTTCGCCGTGATAGCCTCAAGAGGCGCGAAGCCTTGTTGAAGGGAAAGGATGGTAGTCGTCGCAGACAGCGTTGGGAGAATGGTATGTCTTGACATATCGGAATCACGCCACTGGCTGGGCTTCCGCGCTTCTCCTAGGCCGGGCATGCCTTGGTCTTTGCACTCGATAGATGCTGACAGGATGTGCTTCTTGCAAAGATCGTCTTCTGAACAATCCGTGGGCTGAGCCACCTTCTTCCAAGGATTGGGATATCCAAGCCACCCACACTCGTCACGACCCTATGCCTTACTACCTTGCACCTCTCTGGGACAACCACTATGCGCGTTTGGACCATAGGTCATCCCAGCAGATGGAGGCCCGGACCGAGAAGCATCGTGTTCCTAAGGAGTTGCGACAGAGACTAAAGCATGCACGTGCGGCACGTGGTATACTTCAGGATATTGAAGAAGACATCAGACAATTCATCCAACGATGGAACGAGAAGCAAGGTTTACTGAAGCAGGAGGGTCTGGCAGATGCCCCACAGTCATCCGACAGTGAATCCGAAGACGAGATCGTGTTTGTGGGTCGAAACGGCCTGATGCATGACTCGCCTCAGAGAAGAGCACGACTGCAAAAGATGCGTGAGGCAATGAGTGCTCATCATGAGCATGATGGACAGAAGATGGTGTTTGAGAGCCTGGTCGACGACCGGGCAGCTGGATTCGGGTAAGTGTAGAATCATCTATCCAGAGCGTCGATCCATACTTACCGTATGTTCTCACCTTCAGTCGCTGGCTCGTCCATTCCATCGCGTCATATTACGGCTTGCACACTTGGTCTGTCACCGTCGGGGAACCTGCCCGCCGCGAGGCTTACGTTGGCTTCTACCCGCCAGCCCCAGGCAGTCGAGCAGGACCCGTATCCTCACCGGCTGGGTCAAAGGCTTGCCGTCAGGAAGCGATGATTCAGCCCGGAGACGAACTGCCTCAACCGCTGTGGTTGCAGGTGTGAGTCGTTGGTCGAAATGACCTCGAACTTCTGACAAATGCAGGTCAACTTTCACAACTTTGCAGTTCTACAGAGCTTCGATGCGTTTGATTCACGGTGTATGTTTCGGGACTGATTTGAATATTTATCTCTTGTAATATTGGCGTCGGTGGGATGTCTACTTACTGCCTGCGGGGATATAGATCCTGTATATAAGGTAGGATAGACCAAGACCTACAATTGATTTGGGCACATAGGGAAGGTGGCGACCCGCATGGATTTGTAGAGTAAGTATCTTCATGACGCGATCATCTTCACACATTATTCTATCCACTGTAGATCTCTTATCTATAATCAATCTCTCCTATGCCCGCACCCAGCTACAGAATCATAGCCCCTCCCCCCAACCCAAATTCTCCAATGCTGTCTACATTTGTAAACCATAAAGCAGCTGGATCTCTATATCAAAAATTCCCAAAATTATTAGATATAGAAGGGTGAGATTCCCACCTACCAGAACATGTTTGATGCATAGTTCACTTATACTACGTATCATCGAGCTGGATGATGAACCCTCTGTGATCTTGAAAGAGCGAAGTACGAAGAAACCGAAGTTGCAAAGGTGAAGTAAAGAGTTCCATTTTGTTTCTTGTTTCAACTTTCAACTCACTGGCCGTACGATATCAGTACTACGTATGGCAATTTGGTATGTTTCAGTTTTATGAAGAGGGCAGTGAGCAATTGATATATATATATATATACTTACTAGAACTACTACGACTAGTCGCTAGCTGCCAAGGAGAATACAAGCGTACTGTCAATTGAACGGACGTATATATCCTACCGAGACTGGATTCTGGGAGTATATTTACTAATTGTATGTCGATATGTGGTAGTAGGCTGAGAAGACTCAATTCCAGCTTCGATGGGATTTATGAAGACACTAGTTAGTAGCCTAGGGCATTGATGGAGTCTTTAATCCCCCTTTTCAAGCTCCTATTATGTGGTATGCATAGTGCATAGTGATATATAGATACTAAACTTTCTGAAATTTGATAGTATACGTGTTTACAAATCTTATCTGTTTCATGATGCAGGTTGATTTATTCAAAAAGGGCATGGAAGAAATGGAATTTCAATGCTATTGATATGATGTCAATCGTTAGTACAATTGCTGGAATAAAATGCATTCGGTAGATTCTCATCAGGCAGACATGTTATGTTGATGATGTCTCCGGGTGTGACTGTGACGTATTGGTATGTACCAGCCAAGTCAATACTTAGTAGATAGCCCCTCCTCCTTCTCCATCTTTCCCGCCTTTGACATACCAGCGCTGATTCATGGATTGATGGATTGGCCAAGGCAGAAAGCGAATTGCAATTGTCAGTGTCAGTGCCAGTGGCATTGTTGGAATCTTGTACCACCGTCAGCCGTCAGCTTACATGTTGATCTACGATACCGGTTTTAGGTCGGTCCGATAGTTCCGGTTCTAGATGGTCTAAATGATGCTGCTATGCAGCGGGCTGTCACTAAGAGAAGAAGGGTATGGCATGGTTGCTGTTGACAGCGTGGATATTGCGTAGGGAGAGAGGATACGGGAGTGATTGAACACAACAATCAGGGTGACGTATTATGCAAACACAGTATTCTACTAGTACTTCTTGTGTTGGTTCTGCAACAGCAGATCACTTCAGACCTCGGGTGCATGTATGGTGCAAGGGACTGGGTATCATCTATCTGCTATCTAGTACTACGGAGTAGTAGTAATGTGAATTGCTGTTCACTTACCTGATTAGGAAGTATCCGATGGATGCTTAATTTAGTAGTAGACTGACTGACTGCACTGATGCCTTGGTGTCGCTATCTCCCGTGCGCACAGTGAATTGATTGGCGAGAAACGGGAGAAAGATGATCATAATTTCAGGTGTCCATTTAAGCGACTGTGGAATGTCAAACCATCTCCGATTTTTCCTATGGAGAAGGGAGAGCGAGAAGAGAGGAAATAGAGGCATCCATAGACAAGCGAGGCAAGGGCACTGACCGCGCCCCACTTGGGAAGCCCCATCGTTGTGGGGGTCGTCAAGGAGAGAAACCGGAATAGGGTTCGTGTTTGAGTTTTTGGGTGGGAAAAAGACAACACAGAAGCCCCCCAAGCCCGGAATCCATCTCCCCACGTCTTCGCCTCCAAAAGTCGCCTCTTCTCACATGTAATTCCCCGGTGATCTGTATATCTGAGGTGTCGCACCACCTTTACCCTCAACTTCGCTGGTTATGTGGCGAGATTGATCGAAATGCCTGAAGGGGAAGACAGAGAGTGAGCATGGGCGATTATTCATTCGGTCCGATCCGAAGAGGCGACCCCAGTCGGTTCCATGGTACCGTTTCCCACCGTTGGGTCACTAAGTACTGTATAGTCAGGCATCGATCTGATAGATGTTGTGGACTTGACTTGACCACCATTGGTATTTCCCTGGTTTTGCGTTTATTTTTTTACCTCCTTGTCTCCGGTGACAAAGTACTATTTTCACACTGCAAGAAAAAGAAAAGCTAAGCAGACGAATTGTTTGTTGATAGGTTGTCGGCAATTCTCCCATCCAGCGTTCGGTCAGCAATGAACATTTCCCACTCGACACCGCGGGCGAAGCACCAAGTAAGTCGCCGATTCCCTGCAGGGACAACGCCCAGTCTGCGCCGGATCGTGTCTTCCGTCGACCTTCTTGCTGCGACCTTAGCTATACGGTAGAATTCCCATATAAACAGGCTTTGACTGTCTTGGGCTACGGCACCAGTCAGGAAATGTCCGCATTTGGGAGTCTCGGAGAATATCCTGGACGCACAGGAGAAAAAGGAAAAGACCTGCCGAGAAATGCCTTTGCAAGGGAAAGGTAACTCAAGATAAGCAGTATAAACCTTGTCTGGGCGATTCTAGAACCTCGTGGTCGTAGCGGTCGGAATAAGGCACGAGTCATCCCAATTAGGCTGATGATGTAGCAGCCATAGTCTGAGACATAACAATGATGCTTGGGGCTCTGTAGATGCGCATGGACTGTCTTTGCAGTTGAGGTCACTTGGTAGTAGTAGTAGTAGCTACTACCGTCAGCCAAGGTCTCAAGGGCAGTTGAGTCAAGGCTGTAGGCAGAATCCTTGCTGATCAGTCAGTCAGTCAGTCAGTCAGTCTTGCCTTTAGAAGAATTGTGTACCGGCTGGATCTGCTGATTCCGAGAACAACGAGAATATTGCCAGCATCACCAGTACAGCATCACCCGCACTATTAGTGTGGGTAAGGAAGAGTAAAGCACAATCTGAAACTTTGTGCTGTAGATAAAGTTTAATGCTTCGTCCTTTTTCTTTTATTTTTTTTTTCTCTCTATTTCTTTCCTTTTCTGCTAAAAGGAACAAATTCCGATGACCAAAAAAGGTTTAAAAAAAGGAAGCAACTGGGTCAACCAACAGGAATGTGAGAGGGAGAGAGAGCAGTGAGAGATGGCCAAGTCAGTCAATCCATCAGTTGGCTGGTTGGTTCTCCGCTGGCCGACGTGGCTGCCCTCGCCAGGCGTTCATTTCCCATCCTCCATTCCGTGCTTTTTGCCCTTTGGCTCTCTTCTCTCTTCCGTTGCGACGGACTTTCTGCGCCACGCGCATTTCCCTTTCCCTCCCACTCACTTGTATGTAGGTGGTGAGGATGCCGTGTGTCATCTCGGTCGCTTCATACCCTGAAACCCTCCCTTGTGCTGCAAAGCCTGGCGTCATCTGCTATGATCCACGGCCCCCTTCCACATTCCCTCCATTCATTCGCTTTCTCACCCCTCTCGGATTGTTCCAGGGCTGAGTTCAGTTCAGTTCACAGCCTGATCTTGACCTCGGATTCCTGCCCGCTCTTTGTCCCGATTCACGATTACTGTTCCTATTATTATTCTACACCCGTGTTTATTCTTACGCCAATTCCCTCCCCTCCAATCCCTCTCTCACCCTCTATCTATCCGTTCAATCTCGCCTGTCCCTGCCGCCGAAACATCCCCCTCCTCTTCATCTGACTCAAAATTATCCTGCTTTTGGATGAATTTTGCCTCATTGTGCACTGCTTTTCCCGAAAATCTCCTCACGTACGGTGTCTGAGACGGCTGGGACTGCTTCTTGTACGGGAAAACATTGCTTGGACCACGAGATCAGGCTATGATTGAAATACAACATATTTATCCCTACCTCATCCTGTGTGCTTAACTCGCTACCACACTCTTTGATATTCTCCTTTCCCACCCCCTATATGCAACTTATCCCTTAAGCTTGCCTGGATTAGGATTAAAGTGTTACTGTCGGATCGGCTCGGGTATCGAAACAGTCTCTTGTCACTCTACGACCGGCCAGAAGGATACCCAAACTATACGCCACCATCCTTGCACGCCTGCTTGGTTATTATCGCTTCACAACCTATCCGACGGCTCCCTATCACATTAGCGCCGTCATGGGATCCCATGGTGCATCGTCTTACCGGAATGGTTCGAGGACCGGTGGCAGTTCCAGTTCCACTAACAGTGATGTCTCGGAACGCTCGAAAAGCACGGCCCCTACGATCTACAGCGATCGACCCACTCCCCTTCACAGAGGAGGTATAGACATGGACATTTACGATGAAGAAGAAGATCCTAAAGCCTCGGTGTCGACCTACGCCTCTACGATCCCGTCGGAAGATGATCCTCCAGAGACCCCGCGCTACGAAGTAATCGACCGTCAGCTGGACGTGTTCTCAACAGATGTTGTCCCTTCCGACCCGTCGACTTTTGGGCAGCTATTCCCTTCCTCTCGACGACTCCTGATTCGACACGACGATGCGACACTCGATGGAAACATGAACCTCCGCGTCGACACGATGGTGCCGCAAAGAGGTGGATATCAGCAAGATGTAACTTTGTTCCATCTTCGCATGTATGACCTGTTTACGCGAAAGTGCTCCTTCCGACGCTACTGTCGAGACTCTGGGCGGGAAGTGTGCCACTCAGAACGACGGCCTGTCGCATCGAGTTCGGACAGGCATCCGGTGTTTCGACGGTCGTGGGGTAGTGTGCTGGCTAGCTTGCGGCCGGGTTCAAGTGGCCACGGATCACTGCCTAGCCACGAGCATAAGCGCCAGGACTCGGGCTATAGGTCGGCGGAAGATGATGAAGAATATTTCGAGGACAAGCATTCAGAACACCGAGGTGGCGGGGATCGCCATTTTGTGCTAACCGATAGCACGTTACTCGAATTTTCAAATTATGCTCACGTAGAGCTGAGGCGCCGAGGTGCAGGTCTCTCCAAGCGATATGAATTTGAGTACTGGTCGACCCGGTACCAATGGAGACGCGAGTGTCGGAAAGATGGAGACTTGCGCGAAGTCTCCTATCACCTGGTTAACACGCGCACGTCCAAGACCGTCGCTCATATCGTCCCAGAGATCCTGACCCCGATGGAGGCAGCTGAGGAGGAGAAAAAGGGAGGATGGGTTCCACCATCATCCATGTGGATCAGTGACCCGTCAGTGTATGAGAAGATGCCCGACGTCGCCGAGTAAGTAATTCAATTTCCCTCTACTTAGTGTCGGGTCGAAGGTCTTCCTTTTTAGAGTTTGGGGCTGACTAGTGTACAGTGTGTTTGTTGCCACAGGCCTAATATCTTTTGTTGACGATTGCATTCGCCGCCGATGGCACACGAAGAGACCGTCCCAATTCATCCAGCCGATGCGATCAACCCTTTCGAAGAGTATTGAGCTCATGGGTCCCCGGCGATTTCTCGATGAGGTGTTCCACCGACGAGGGTCCGCATAAAGAATGATAGGCTATCGATGGAGGAAAAACGGATGGTCAAGGGCGACACGGCGGCAACACGTCATGCCATCGTGTTGTGAGGGGAAAGACCGGTTTGCAACCGGCGCAGTTTTTCATTGACAGGGGTCCCTAGCCGACCACTTGGCTCTAACGACGATAACGACCGCAAATGATGATGGGATTTCCTTTTTCCTTTTTCTTTTTTTTTTTTTTTCTTTTTCTCATTGGGAATTGGCAGGGGGGTGGTTCGCATTGAATTTTGGTTGGCTCATGTGCTCTAAATTTTTCTTGTTTACTTCTTGGTATTTGCGCAGCTGAGGGGAAGAGGGGGTGGTACATTTGGGCGGTTGCCGGAAGGACAGACCGGCATGATTGGCGATGATGTGTTACAGGAACCGGAGGGTCGTGCAGGTTCGGATGAGGGGGGGGTGTGTGGTTGACGGTGGTGTTGGTGATGGTAGTAGTGGTGGTGGCAGTGGTGCTTGCTGGATGTAGTTTAGTAGTTACTTACTACCTAGCAGTACTTACTACTAGTAGTACTAGGCAAGTGGGTGGTGGTGGTGGTGTGAACCTGAGTTGGCTGCCTGTTTCAGCCTCACCTTTTCCCTCTGCTGGCATCTTCCTGGTACTATTTTGAATTATGATCAGCATTGATCTTGGGGATGACGCTTACGCATGTCAATTTATAATGCTGCATATCTCATGAACTTAATGCCTAGCCAGCCAGCCACCTTGGACTTTTTATTTTAATTATTCCCGCCAGCTAGCTAGCTGTCGACTCTTGCTGTCCCGGCCGGGGAACAGGACCCGCGATTATAGTTCGTTCCTTGTCTGCCTGACTTGTTCAACCCCTGGTCTGGACCAGATCAGATGGCAAGCGAAGAGGACAACATGCATGATCTGGCTAGGCTTGAAAGGGGAAAACAATTTAAAAAATTATCCAAGAAGATAGTGCTGCTGTGCTGATGAATGTACACCAGAAAGGGAAGTGACGGAGTTGAGTGGCAGCCAGGTACACATTCCCCCCCGGGTAGAGGTACTACTTACTACTACTACTATTCCAATATGTTACGGGACAGTGACATGAGTACTGGAAACTGGATAACTTCTTCTATCCTTCGATACCATCTCCTCTACCACTGCCCAGCAATCGTTCTAATACTCTACTCAACTCCATCTCCAGATGAAACTCCGCCCCAAACTACGATGATGCGGGGCAGATCGAGGCTCGTCGCCAAAAAAGAAACGCAACGGCGCGTCGAATCAACGGGCTGGTCGCCGCCTCGAAAAGCGGTTCGTGGAAACGTTCCAGCCTTCCCCGTTGTTTGGCGCGCTGGTTATCAATCTTGCTTGCTTATGCAGGTTCTTCATCACTTTCCACGATTTCCTTGCTGCTTCCAATAAACTAACAGAGAAAAAAAATAATTAACACAACACCCCCCCCGGTCTCTCTTCTCCCCCCCCTCCCCCTTCCCTTTCCCCATTAAGGTGGTTCGCAAGTAGTCGCATATTGCAAGCGAAGAGAGATTGAACTGAAATGATGCACGTATGAATGCCCAACACAATGCCAGAAGAAAGCAACGAATCATGGCATCTCAGCTGCCGGAAATGGTCTGGGTCAAGCATACCCAGCTCGCTCTTCGCTGGCAATTTGTGTCTCCCTCAGAGTGATTCTGATGCACAAGCTGGCCTTCCAACATTATTTTCTGTTTCCAGACCCCTGCTGAAGGTTTCGCTTTTTCCCCCTTCCGGGTTATAGTGATGCCATCAAGCAAGCTCTGGCCACCCTGGAATCTGCAGCCCCCTTCCCGATAACAAGTACCCATGCAGAGCGGCCCGGTCAATGACCGTTTCGTTCTAGGGCTGAGGGTAACCATTTGATGGGTCTAAAAATTGACAATGGCTCGAATTTTTCTGATTCGAGTCTTTTTGATGAGCTGGCACGCTGGTCTTTGGGCCCGCTTCCAATATTCTGAGTGGCCCAACTGGTCAACATAAAATTATACTCTGGCTTCGATTCGTCACTATTCGGTCTATGGGTCCCCTTCCTCCGCTTTTGGGCAACTACTAGGCCTTCTCAGGTTCCCCGTCAACCGTCCCATGCCTTCCAGAAAGAGACGGTCCTCCTTCCTGAAGAGCGTCTATGAGGCGAGTGGCTTGTTCCTACCCGATGTATACATCGTTTGCGGCACAGGAGATACAGAACTCGAGCCACGATGACCGGGAGTCCAGGCGTCCTTTCTGAGTTGTCAAACAACACTGGCTGCGAACTGGCAGATTTTCGGTTTTACCCCCTGTATCACAGCTTCATTTCTTTGTCTTGGATTATCCCCCCATCACAACCCCCTGTCTGTCAGTAGATCTGGCCTAGGTGGAGACTAGCGGTCCTATTCCCTGTCTCCTGGCGTTTCTTCAAGGGCACACATTCAATCGGCGTGCGCCGGCCCGTTCCAGCTTGCAGCCTCAAAATGATCCGCATGTACTCCATGCAACTGGCGTTCCCTGAGTGGAGGAGGATAAGGAGGGGGAGAAATTGCTGACACTGTGCCATGTCCACATCGGCATGCATAAGCCCGTCCGTTAGGTTTGATGATTAGGTTCCGTGTTTGTCACGCCAAACTGGTCCTGCTTGCACAGTGACATTTTGGGGTTTGGGAGGGATGGCCCACAGTTTATATGACTCCCCGCTTCCCAGGTCTATCGACGCTGTTCGATTGAAAGGGCAGACCAGTTCGCAAACTTCCCCAAGCAAAGTCAAGACGAAGCAACATAGCCGGGCAAAAATTTTCTATCTTTTCATCTTGAACCCTCATTAGTCCTATTCATTTTCTACTTTGACCGATCTGACCATCCATTGGTGTTGTGTGGTCGAAAACCCCCCTTCCCATTATTTTCAATTACTCAGGGTGTAAAGTATTGTCTGCCGTGTGAGAGAGTTTTGTTCTCCAACCGTTGTGGGATATCGAACCCAATTCAGATCTGCGCTTTGATTTCTCTTTGGTGAAAACCCAAAGCCAGTCATTCTTACCAATTGTTTTTCTCTGCTACGAAAAATACACACACACATCCTTCATCATGGCCACCAAGACTTCGCAGGCCGCAAAGGAAAGCAGGATATGGCAGGACAGACTTAGAAGTATGCCCCACTCCGCTGCAATAATCTTCCTCTCTGCACTTTCGACTTAGCCGTTACGGCGGCCCCCTTCTTCGTCCAAGTCAACTAACCCTGATTCCCTCACAAAGTATACTGCCTAGAGAACAAATTGGAGGAGCCGATTTACAATTTTGAATCTGATCGTCGAGGTGAGAAGCTTTTTCTTCCTATCCCCCCCCCCCCCCCAGCCGTCCACTCTCCTGATTACCCCTCGTTGTTGGGAGTTCCTTGTCCTTTCATTGCCCCTCACTGCTTGCTGTTGCCCACAGTGTGCTTGTGATAGCGAAGCTAAGCTCTGCTTCACCGACTTTTGAGCCTCCTCATTTCAAGCAAAAGGTCTGGTTATACTGACGGGTGTGTCGCTGTTCAGGAGGTCGCACAGCTTGGACCTCCAAGGTCACCGTTCAGCACCGTGTCCCGGGAGTCCCGTGGATAATTCCGGGACGATACTTCTTCGACGGTGATAACAATGCCCGAGAAGATGCTGCTGAGGTCGCTTGGAGGAAGTTGACCAACACCCCTTGATGTTCGTCGAGAGGCTGTATTTCTAGATCTTGTCTGGATGTTCACTGGGAGAATGACTCATGTCTCTCTCCTCTCCCTCGCCCTCGTCTATTCCGGTTCTTCTATGATTTTTTTATTTATTACGCTCAGTTTGCTTGTTATGTACGACGCCATCCGGATTGATGCCTACTCCTCGGGTCTCGCAGACATGTACAACACTTCGGATGTCGACAATTGACCTTTCCCTCTTCGTTCTCGAGACTTGTTTGCTCTTTCCCCGCTCGATTCCCTTGATTATTCCCCAACGCAGAATGGCACGACAACGGTATGGGGTGGATTGTGGACATGGCTGAGGCTCACTTCCTGCGGGAAGAAGGTTACCGTTGAGCGGATGAACCTTGGCCCCTGTCTGTTCTGCAGTGTGCCCTTGCCGGAGTCGGCTCGGATGGTCCGGTCATATTGGTTTGATTCAATCCGCAGGCGGCGAGCGCATTTGACAGTCCTGTTGTCATCTGCGCCAGTTCTCTAAAAACCGACAGTCGGGCCCCGAACGAATGCTTTAGGACGACAGAACAGATTCGTGCGATGTGCGAGCTTTTTGACAGTTTGACCAAGTTAGTTTTGAGGCCTTTATTCTCTTTCCTCCTTCATCATGGTAGCGATTCATACTGCCGGTCTTTTTTTTCTTATTGTTTACTTTCCCTCCTATGCCCGCTTGGCCATGAAGCAGAGAGGCGCCCATCGCCCATGCATACTGGACAAGCGATCGTCAGTGCGGAGCAGAAGCGACTTGCTGTGCGCCAACTGAATGCTGGCAGGTGAGGGAGGGAATTTGACAAGTCAACAAAAAAGAAAAGGAAAAAAAAAATCTTTCTCTTCTTTTCCAAATCAGTTCTCACAGCGTTTATGGGCGGAGTTGAGGGAACATCTCGGGAATTGTTTTCTTTTCATCTATTCCAGACCGTTGTGTCTTTCTTATTTTTGGCGACAGTGCCTGGTTGGGAATAGCCCCTCCATGGATTGGTGTAGAGACTAATGTCTGCCGGGGTTCAAATTTTTTTACTTTTTATTTTTTCATATTTATCCCATCTATTTTTGAATGAAGTCATGCTTCAATTTAAATATTTTTTTTGGTTATCTTTCTATTTGGGAACCGAGCAGTTCCTCAAGACCAGCCCAGTCAATCAGTCCGTCAGCGCTAAGTGAAGAAAAGAAAAGTGGAAGACCCTCAGGTCCCACCGCCAGTTCGGGAGTTTTGTCAGACGCGGAAATATCCACAGCACCCAAACCCCTGGGATGCCAGGTCTGGATAGTGCTTAGCGGGTGGTGTTCAATAGTGGTTGCTGACCCGTATAACCCTCCAGGAGAAGGGAAACCTTACTTTATTTATTCTTACCTACTGAATATTGGCAAACCAGACCTCTGGTTTAGCAACCCGTCATGGCCCTGAGCTTAACCTTATTTCCTTCACGTGTTGTGCCCGCCCGCCCGCCAGTCTCTCCGGTTCCATGGTTCGCATGCCAATCATTCATTTATTATTCTCCGTGGGACCCGCGCACCCTTCACACCAAACGGTAGATGGCAATTAGGTATGCCATGGCGTCTGCTATTTACTTTTGGAAACAGTCTTCTCTGCAATATGGGGCACAGTTGCTCCAATTGGCATCCACCGGATTCCTTGTTTTGAGTTGGCGAGAACTAACTGCCTTTTTCTTTCTAGTCCATTTTGCTTTTTTCCTTTTCGCACTAGCATGACTCGTTCACCGTCCTACCTCTCGAGACTTGGGCACGAATTACTCTAATTGCACAATTGGCGGCCGAGTGGTGCTGAATCCATCTGAGAAGAACCTGGGAAATAATATGGTGGATATGAAGAATTGTTGCTGGTGAGTATGTGTCTCCAATACAGGAAGACTCGCCAGTCTGACAGAACCCCCCTAACTTCAATTGTATACTATTCATGATATACTAACCTGATAACTAGCATGCAGTCAATCAATCAATAAGCGAACCTTTCACCACCCTTGGTGCCCCTGTTCCTCCATCCATAATAGAGTCGCAGCAGAATACACCCCGCCGTGACCATCAGCAGCAGCGCCGCATTCGTCCAATGTCCCGTGGGATAACCCTTCTTCTCCTCGTCGGACTTGTATATCCACACCCCTACGATTTGTCCCGGCGCCCCGAATGACACGTTCAATGCAATAGCTAGGCCGGTCCCTGCTGTCGAGCGGATATTGGCAGATAGCCAGCCGAGTAAGGGCGGGATGCAGGCGAATGAGCCACTGGCTGCGACTACGAGACATCCGTATCGGTGCTGTGACACGAATTAGTGGATGGTCTGGATAATGGCTGGATTGGGTTAAATGCTTGCGCGTACCAAGTATGCGTCTGCGGGAAGAACGGCAGATGCGAGGAAACCCATGGCTCCGATAAAGGCAAAGAGGGCGGAATGCAGACCACGGCTGTGTTTCGGTTCATTTATCAGTATTGCTCTGGTTTGAAGCAGTGACTACATACCTGTTGAAGTGGTCGGCGGACCATGCAACGACAGTAGTCACCACATAGGCAGCAGCCCATGGCGGTACTGTCATGAGCTGGGCCCGCAAATCCGCATATCCAAGGCCACTGACAATGGCAGGGGTGAAGAGGGAAAGACTGGAGAAGGGGGTCGAGATGCCGAAATATACCTATACCATCATTGTTAGGGTCTGTCGCTGATATGCACTGGGGGGACTAACTATATAGTGCGCGTATAGCCTCCATTCCGTCAGGATCTCCTTTGCCTCTTCCCAGCTCATAGCTTTCGCTGTTCCATGAGAGCCTTCCTCTTTCAATCGGTGGATAGCAAGTTCCTTCTCTTCCGGGCTGAGCCACGACGCCGACTCGGGATAGTCAGGGAGGAAGAACCAAACGAGGAATGCCGAGGCGCACGACGGAGCGCCTTCGATGATGAACAGCCATCGCCATGCTGACAACCCGCGAACCTCGTTCATATGTCCTACGCCATAGGCAATGGCACCGCCGAATGCACCCGCGAGGGTGGCAGATGCTAGGATGAGAGCGACGCGCATGGACCGCTCTGAATTGCGATACCAGAATGTCAGGTAGTAGACGAGTCCGGGGAAAAGGCCGGCCTCCGTGGCTGTCATGTCAGGGTCAGCAGATTCCGCAGAAGTCGATGTTAAATCTATTACCTCCAAGCAGGAACCGGATACCAGTCACTTGGGCGAAGTTGTGCGAGCCGCCCAAGCCCATTGTGGTAGCTCCCCAGGACAGCATGAGGAATCCGATCCATCTCTGTTCTCGTTAGCCTTGCTCTGACTGGGCTGGGGATGACTTACGCTGGGCTTCAACTTCTTGAGCAGATAATTGGAGGGCACTTCGAACAGCGCATACGCGATTAAGAACACCATGAGTGCGACACTGTATGATTAGCAGTTGCACAGTCAACTTGACAGCAGAGGTACCTACGTGTACTGGTATGAAGTCATGTGCGTCTCCGAGAGGAGGTCGTTGCCGGTGTCTTGGTTGAGGATTTTGGCATTTCCTAGTCTGTCAGTATACTATACTGCATGCCCTAGGATGTCAATTACCTATGTTGGAACGATCCAGATAGCAGAGAAGATAGATGCCCGCGCAGAGTGGCACAATTCGCAGGTCTTGCTTCCAGACCAGGGCTTTCTCGCGAGTGCTGAGATCTATTCCAGTATAGCTCTCTTGCGTTACCTGAATTGCCATTAGAAGACTGTGATGTGAGTAGGAGGAGAGCTAGAAAGCGCACCTGCGGAGCAACTTCAACATCCTGCACGCTCTCAGCGTGGTCCAAATTCTTTTCCCCACTCATTGTGATGTCTTGAGCGAGACAGGTCTGTCGTGAAGCTCAATAATGGTGAATCAGTAGCAGCACCCCTTGTCGCAATAGATCACCACGTAAATCTCCGTGACTCGACCGTGCGTCAGAGGGAGACAGACAGGAAAAGAGAGTGCAGAAAACTCCACGCGAGAAGACCGACAGACCGGCTGACTCCAACTCAGTCCAGCTTAGCTAGCCCCGAACCGGAGGCAGACCGCCATCCCCAAAGGCTACTTAAGCTGCATGGCTGCTTGCTAGTGGCTGATCGGCAAAATTGGCTCAGTTGAGCGGAAGTTCCTTTTGCTGCGGGCGCGTCAGTTGGGTATGCAAGGTTTGTTTGCCATTGATTGATTGGAAGGAAAGAATTGGGCTTGTAATCTTTCATTCTCTTGAGCAGGTGAGAATGCGCTCGTAGTAGACAGATGTGAGGAGGAAATTCAAAATGATGAGGATAGATAGTCTTCTCCAGGGCATCCTCCACATCGAAGGACCTCCGCAGGGACCGGCAATACTATGAAATGGGGGAGACGGAGTAAATGCGGGGAAGATGCCCGTATTGTAATTCTGTATGGCCGTGACAGCATTCCTGGTATAATACAAATTGATGCAAAACATACAAACAAGACAAACACCACTGATATTGATCCAAGACAAGAAAGACAAAAAGAGTCGCTGACAGACAGACAATGCCCATGCTTCTGGGTAGTTCATGAATGTATGCCCGAGTCACCGCACAGAATTGGATAAGAAGCTGCCGCTCAGGCACCATACTATCCACCACCCCTACAACCTTATATAAATCGGCAACAACATCAACCCTTGCCCGCATCATCCCCTCTTCAGCTCCAGCTCCAGCTCCAGCTCCGAGCGGGGCTCCTACTATCGCAACCATGTCGACTGCCACGACCACCACGCCCACGCGCAAACCCATGCCCTCGGCATTGACCTTTGACTTACATGCCAAGTGTTCAGTATGCTCGCTACTTCAACACTGTTGAAAAAATCATCGTATGCTGACTACTATCTATACCTAGACAACCAAAGCACGCGCCAGTACCCTCCGCCTCCCCCATGGCGATGTCCCCCTCCCTATCTTTATGCCCGTCGCGACCCAAGCCTCCCTGAAGGGCTTGACGTACGACCAGCTCCGCCAGACGGGCTGTCA